AATGCTTTATACAAAGGGATCAAGAATAGTTGGTACCACCTATAGATCCACTAATGCCTCCTCCTAACGTTGCACTAGATCTCAACTCGTTTATAAGAGAACCTTGATAGTCTTCCATTATTCCAAGAGGAGGGGATGATGTGAGGTCTAAGTGTACAGCTATGATGCCATATACTAATATTAGCATAGTGGGATTTTGGTAGCCGTCAGATTGGTTTCAATCCAGACCACTTGCTCCTATATATAAGCTAGGGTTTTTGGGCTAATTGATATACACATTTTCTATATTCCCTTTCCATATACCATGCATATACAAAAAATATACATATCAATTAGCCCAAAAACCCTAGTGTTCGTCAAATACTAATCCCATGACCTAGTATCGGCAGCTCATGGCAATCACGAAGGTAAATATAGCTTCGTTTATAATATTGGATCATAACCATACAAGAGTTTATATGGTGAAGCATCAATAGAACTCTATACTCTTGTGATATATGCATACTGAAAAGACAGCAAATAACCATCCTAATCCAAATGCTGAAAGTTCACGTATTTCACAATCATCCCTTTGAATGTCCAAACAAGTTATTCTACCAAATCGCTGACTGTGGATGATAAACACTTGTGAGAGTGTGGTGTATCCCCAACCGAGACGTCAAAACATGAAATGCCTTAGCCATAAATGCTGGACCATTATCCAAAAAAATCTATAGGAACACCACTCAATTGAGGAGGAAGTATCTAACAGCAGTTGCAAAAGTGCTAGCAAGAGCATTAACTTCCACAAGTAGTTAGAAGCAATAATATTGCCAGCAGTCGATCGTGGAAAAGGTCCCATAAGTTCAAATGCCACCAACTCAAACGAATGGGAAACTGCAATTGACGCCAATCGTCCTTCCGCAACATAAAGGGAGTATTACAAGCTTGACACCAAACGTAGCTACGCACAACATCATGTCGCATCTCCAGCCAGTAGAAAGACTTACACAAATTCTCGGTCACATGACGATGTCCCATATACTTACCTAGAACAAAAGAATCATGGTAAGCATAGAGAAACTGTGGAATAAGATTGAGGGCACCACTAGCCATAAATGATCATCAGGATCCATTCCCACAAAATAAAGAAGGTCGTTTTTAAGGCGATATTGAGAATGTAAATGCTAGAATGGTAAGTCATCAGTAAATCATGCAAGATTTTCAAACTTCTAGAAGCCTTTGAATCCACGGCTCAATCTTTTAAACTTTATGAACCTCATCAAGAGAAGGTAGTTCTTTTTTTGTACCTTGTGGACACTAAATGTCAAATACAGCAACCGCCAATGGCATAGAATCCTCGTCTAGAAAATCCATAGATGCTAAAACAATAGTTTCGTCAAAAATATGAGAAGAGAGCGAAGAAGGAAGAGGAGCTTGAGAAAGGGTGTCAACATCAGCCATAGAACTTCCCGGGCGATGAACAACATCAAAATCATATATCTGAAGTTTCAAAGCCCACCGAACAGTACGACCAATGAGATTCTTCGGTTTTAATAATGAAGTAATGACAACATGATCACCTTTTAGTAACGTCCAAGAACCATATAGATATGCATCAAGTTTATCAAAACCCCAAACTGTTGCTAAACACTCCTTCTTTGTCATGGAGTAGTTCACCTCTGCTAGTTGTAATGTACAGCTGATGTATGCAATGGGATAGTACTGACCAAGAACACTCGGGCTCTATTGCATCAACACACCTCCAAGACCAATATCAGAAGCATCCACACACAAAATGAAAGGTTGAGTGTACTTAGGATATGCCAAAACTGGAGGAGTCATCAATAGCTCTTTGAGATTTATGAATGCCCGCTCACAATCCACAAACCAAATGAAAGATGACATTGATGAGTTTAGCAACACTCGCAACGGTGCAGTGCAATCAAAAAGATGATCCACAAAACAATTGAAATACTGCACTTTGCCTAAGAAGTATTGCACATCATTCACACACTTCAGAGTAGGAAACTTTACAACAACCACATATAAACAACTAAATTTTCCATTCTACTGGAAAATCCCCTCCTCTCAAAATGATAGAAGACCATCAAAGTTCTCTTATAAATGAGCTGGGATCTGGAAGAACATTAGGAGGAGGCATCGGTGGATCTGTATGTGGTACTAATTGTTCTTGATCCCTGTCGAGGGCTAGAGCAGCTCAAGAATAAGGCTTGGTCGAAGAGGGCTTCCTCCTTTTTTTGGTTAGGGAATATTCTGCTGGAAAGGGGGTGTGTCTAGAGGTTGACAAGAGGAGGGATGGCCATTTTCTAGGCATAGCATATATGTAGAGTGGAGTAAAATAAAAAAGAAGGTTCTTGGAAAGAACCTCAAGTTCTTGGAAGGATGCCTCATTCAATAGCCTTGGAGCGCATGGAGTGAAGGTTGGCAATGTAGTGGCGACTACAGTTGTTTGAAGAGTGCATCACAGCGAGGATCGCTTAAGATCAATCAATTTGTGTGAGTTGTCTAACTTGTGGGCAGCCCTAAGCTAGGTTGTTGGCAGAGGTCCTAGCAAAGGTCACCTACAAGGCTAAGGATGAGGCTAGGCAGCAATGATTCTCAACTTCGTTGATGTGTCATTGCCAGGAGTGACATCTTTTGGTGAGCGAAGCAAGTGTTAAGATTGTGGTAGAAGGGTGAGCACCCGGAAAAGCCAGGCTACCCTCACCAAATCAAGACTGTTCCTTCCTAGTGTTCAAGAGAATACTCCAATTCTCACAAGTGGCTAAGCTCAAACCATTGTACCACTATAGCACTATCCCTTGGAAACACGTGGGAAACTCATGCAATGTCAAGCATCATCCCAAGAATGATATATGGTAATCATCATGAAGTGATCGAACCAATGGTACACATCATCCCTAGGATTCTCATGAAAAAATTCTAGCCAAATACAAGGATTGGCACCAAGAGCAGGAGGAGTTGTACCACACGCCATAAATGCTGTTATCAATTGAGTTTAGTTGTTTAATTACAATCACATAGCATTAAGCAATTGCACCAACTGCTGCTCCAGAGTCAAAGGAGGAGGAGATTGCTACTCTGCCATAAAGATGAATGAAAAGGAAATAGCAAAAAAAAAAAGAAATGAAAAAAAACTAAAAGGAAAGGGAGATCTAAACAATGCAAAAGTTAAATCTAAACCAAAATCTCGAAAAAAAATAACAAAAGAAAGGAAATGGAAAAAGCTAGATCTAGACAATGCAAAAGCTACATATAAACCAAAATCCTAAATCCAAACTCCTCAGGGATAATCAAAGATGCCCTTCAACTTCACCAATATGAGTGCATGGAATATGGAAAGGGATTATAGAAAATGTGTATATCAATTAGCCCAAACACTTTAACTTATATACAAGAATGAATAGTTTAGATTGAAACCAAACTGACAGCTACCAAAATCCCACTATATTAATATTAGTATACAGCATTGTAACTGTACCTCATAATATCAATTATTATATTTGATTTTATACACTCTATTAAACATTAGGAGAATTAAATTATATAAAAATTATAATTAAGAAGATATAGTGTAATATTTTATCATTTCAATCAGACTATAATTTAAATAGTTATATTTATCAATAATATATATGAATTACCTTATGAGTATTATTATTAATTTAATAAACTTTATAATCTTTAATTTTATAATTCAGTTTTCTATACCTTTTATTAAAATAAATTATTTTTGGAATGTTAAAGCAATAGTTGCTTAATATCTAAAATTTATTCATTTCTCATAAGGTGATTTAGAAGAATACTTTAAGTTAATTAAGTAAGTTATAAAAGACAATAATGATAAATATTCATTTAACTAAGCATATAATGTGTTTAAAATTGTTTAAATTTAAATTTTGAGTTCACAAGTAAAATAAATTATTAAAATACTATATATTATAATTAATGTTTAACTCTTAGTTCATATAAGTTTATGCATTTTTACATATAAGTAGTAGCTAGATGATATTTTTATATAAATAACTAAAGTATAAATATTTATATTTTAAAGTTATTTTTTCTCACCTTATCACTTTTATAATGAAATTATATTATGTTTTTTAACAGTTACATATTAATAAATTAAATAAAATTTATAAAAACATTATTTAACTTTTAGGATGTCTATTTTATATGATGGATATTTTTTAACTATCAATATATATATATAGCTCTATAATATATATTACTGAAGTTCCTCTCAACTTGCAATGTTTAATTAATATATGATATTCACACTCAATGAAGATATTACTATTATTGTTAAACTTTATAATAATTATATTTACATTCTATATAGGCATTCTAAATCTTACTAACAATTGTATCAAAAAATTTAAATAAACACCTCTTTAACTATCATATATATAAATAGCTTTTATTGCAAGAATTATTAATTTTTACATATTTAATGTTTGTTCCTAGTTGAAAATTTTACCAAATTTCTTGCCAAAATAATATATAATTCATTAATTTTTTTCATTTGACATAGCAATTAAAGATTTTTATTTTATGGTTTTGGATGTTGTTGAGGGTTTTGCTACATTTACAAATTGCAATCATCACTAGTAAGTAAATACCAAAATCACTAAATCCATAATTGTAAACTAAGTAATATAACTTGAAGGAGTGTTATTGTGTTTGTACTAAATTAGTATTAAAGGCTAGAGGAACATGGATGCTCTAAATTCCACAAGAGAAAACTGTGATAAGACAAAGTTGATGTGATTATAATTATTTACAGCATTGGTTAAGAGAGTTTAGAAATTATAAACAATAAAAATCGTTAGATAGTAAAATATTCCAAAATATGTAAGCATATTCTAAATATACCTGCCGGACACTTTTCTGTTCAAACCTACCTGAAATTTTTGATAACGGCTTTTAAAAAAGGAAACGCTAAGACCTGAGCGACTGAGGGTGTCGCATAGCTGGGATGTGCGATGGGAGTGATAAACCTTAGCCTCTCCGACACTGTTTGTTTGTGGAGCGTCACGGTGTATTTTAAATGTAACAAGCTGGCGTTGTTTGCGAAGTTCCCGTGCTTTCTTGCGGACCTGTGCCACTGTAATGGATGGCGTTATATGAACGATGTGTATTCCAAACGAAACATTTCACAAAAGCCATGATTTTTCGAACAAGATTTGCCAGGCAAACAACAAACACATCAAGAAAAATACGATACCTCTCCCGTATCTCCAAGTCCGCAGCTCATGTCACTTTGGCCAAAACTCGGATTGAGACCTCGGGACGCAGGCATACTGCAAGCTTGGACGTTCCCCAGGAGCTTTGGACGGCCATTATTGCATTGTGTCACCAGCTAGCACCGTGATGCCAATTCCGAGATCACGTCAGCAGAGAGGAGAAAAATCATGTACACTCTGCCTCAAGATCGAAAGCCAAGAAACCAGGAAAGAGCATTTAACATTTTCTAACGCTGGGCCCCTTCTATAGCTCGCCGACGCGTAGCGCCAGGAAGGCATGAGACGTGTCGATCCACGATACACTCACCTCGTGTTTGATCCTAACCGCACGAAACTCCCGAATCTAAGAGCGAGATCCGGGGTAGAGATTTGATGAAGTGACTCAGTGGAGGACCAAAAGAATATGCTCTGGTTTGAACGCGAGAGAAGAAGCCCTAATGCATGCTTCGCACCTCCAAATGGGGGCGGCTCGCGCGCGCGGTGCTCCAGTCGCACAGCCTTGACCTCCGCGAGCAGGAGAACGCGTTCGCGAAGGTGGTGCGCGAATGCGGGCAGGAGCGGGATCTGGAGCGCGGGCGGAGGATCCATGCACAGATCCAGGACGCCGGCATCGCCTCCAACACATTCCTGGGCAATCTCCTCGTCCAGATGTATGGCCGCTGCGGCTGCTTCCACGGCGCGCGGGCGGCCTTCGATGCCATCCAGCGCCGGAATGTCTTCTCGTGGACGCTCATCGTCACTCGTTCCTATTGAAGTTGCCACCCTTAATGAGCTCCACACAAGTTCTACACATCAGAAAACTCGAAAGCTTTATTTCGGTTTGTGGATTTTAGCATGCTTCATCGCAAGATCTACAGAACAATCCAAATTCCATGACCAGACTCGGCATCATTCACTCCATAACGAGAACTAATGAAGTGGAACTTGAGGTTGTTTGGAACGCACATCTTGAGGATCTGAAGGTAGCTCACAAGCTCGGCATTGCCAGAAGCCACAGCGTTCCTCATCACAACGTCGTAGTAATGCGTCACCTCGCGTTCCTTCTCCTGGATCATTGCACAGGTCCTGTCCACCGAGTCCTGGAACGTGTTGACGCTGGGATCCAAGAGCAACTGCAAGGACGCGATGCTTCTCAGTGGCTTTTTGGCGCGCAGCTCCGCGGGGAAGGAGATAACGTCGTTGACAAGGAGGACGTGATCGTTGATGGCGTTCTGGAGCGCCAGGTAGTCCCGCGACTCCAAATCGCTGTCTGGGAGCGCAATCTCCAGCGACATCTCGATGAATGGGAAGCAGGGGAGGAGGAAGCAATCGAGCCTCCTGCGCGCCAAGTAGCTCTCGACCGTCGACGCCGATTGTGCTAGAGAAAGGACGCTCCGGTCCATGGAGGCAGCGTAGGCCTCCATCTGCGCGACCCAGTGCGCGTACACCCGGGGAGCCATGGATGATCGCAGGCGCGGAATGAGGTCCGCGCAGAACTCGAGCGATGGATGGACTGGATCGCGATGTGGGTGTGTCCCATGGAGGATGCCCTGGAAAGTCTCCAGGAACTCCTCCCGGGGGGCGCCGCCGGGGGACTCGTCCTCGAGGAGATCATCCAGCATGGTTCCAAACCACGCGAACTTGCCGCAGAGGACGGCGCTCTCGGTGGATCCGCACGGCACGAGCATGCTCATGTAGAGCGGGATTCGCATGCGCTCCAGGGAGAGCTTTTGGGCATCGCTCATGCTGGGATTGATGAATGGGAATGCCCACTCGTTCGCGAGCTTGGCAACCAGCTTGTGGTCGGGATGCCAGGCGCTGGAGGGGATGGAGCAGCGAATGGGCGGCAAATAGAACCTCTTCAGCCCCAGGAGGTGTTCCATGGCGGGAATCTTCTCCACAGCAAGTGCCATGATCAGTAGGAGATTTAGATAATCGGGATTTTGGAGAACGACATTTTATAGTCATTTTTGTTACACTGGATCATGTTGGACATTGCTATTGGAGTGGCACGAATTCATATCGACTTTGTACTGAATGCTCGAAAATTCTATCGCAGTGGCTCGATGGTCATTGTACATCCCAGACGAAACATCGGGCGGCTGGAATATTGAAAGAAAAGTTTCATGCTCGTGTTTTCTCACCCCTCGTTGAAAAAACTGATCGATCCATTGTATTTAAGAAGGTGGCAGTCCAGTGTTACTAGCAGAAAAGAGAGATGGATGTTGTAAGCTCTCTCCTCCTCCTTTTTATCCTGGCCGTCGTGATAATCAGCTACAAATCCAGAGTGACTTCTCCACCAGGGCCATGGGGATTGCCCTTGATTGGCCACCTCCACTTGCTAGCGAGAATGCCCCTCCACCGAGCTCTGCAATCCATGTCACAAAAGCACGGCCCCATTGTGTCCTTGAGCCTGGGAATGAGGCCAGCGATTCTCATATCAGCTCCGGCTCTGGCAAGAGAGCTCTTCACCTCGCAGGATGTGAATTTTCCATCCAAGCCATATATGAGTGTCGCAGAGCACATAGACTACAACTTTAGAAGCATCGGGACTGCCCCTTATGGCGAGTACTACAGCAGCATCCGGAAGCTGTGCCTGACGGAGCTCTTCACCGCCAGGAACATCGATTCGTTTTCATGGATTCGAAGCGAAGAGCTCTCGCATCTATTGAGTGCAATTCTCAGCAGCGCCAGCCATGGGCAGGCGCTGGATTTGAGGAAGACCCTGTCGGTGTTCACATTCAACAGCATAACCGGCGCCCTCATGAGCAAACGGTACCTCAGCCACGAGCATGCCGGTGCGGCTAGCTCAAAGGAGGCCATGGAGTTCAAGAATTTGGTATTCGAAGTCGTGCACTGTATTATGGACCCCTGTTTGAGCAACTTCGTGCCTTGGTACTTGAGATGGCTTGACTGGAAGACTCCTGGAATGAGACGCCTTCATGCAAAGGTGGATAAGTTCTTGCAAATGGTTGTGGAAGAACACAAGAAGAGCACCCGAGAGCACAAAGACTTCCTTGACATTCTGCTCGAGGCTTTTGGGGAGGAGGAAGCTTATGCAAAAGCCAATCTGTTGGTACGTGCGTGAGGATGAAGAACAAGATAGTGCTTCTGATATTCATATCCTTTCTTTCAGGACTTGATTATGGCAGGAACTGAAACTTCCGTCATTGGGACCGAGTGGCTCATGGCAGCAGTGATCCAGGAGCCGCGGATCCTGAAAAAAGCCCAGCAAGAGCTTCAAGATGCCGTGGGCAACAGGCGGATGGTGCAAGAATCAGACCTCTCCAAGCTCGGCTACCTCGACGCCATCATCAAGGAGTCATTCAGGCGTTACCCGGTTGTCCCGATCCACATCCGCGAGTGCCAAGGCCAAGCGTCAAAACTCGGGGGCTACGATGTCCTAAAAGGAACCATCGTGCTCGTCAACTCGTGGGCGCTGGGAATGGACCCCGTGGTGTGGGAGAATCCCACACAGTTCTTGCCGGAACGCTTCCTTGCGAGCTTCATCGACATCAAAGGCCAGGACTTTGAGCTCCTTCCATTTGGATCCGGGCGAAGGAGATGCCCCGGGATGCCCCTGGGCCTAAGAACCGTGAAGCTGCTCGTGGCAAATCTCATACATGGCTTTGACTGGAGTGTGGAGCCCGGCTAGATCCAATCCATGGAGGATTGCTTCAAAACTGCTTGCATCATGAAGCATCCACTGCAGCCAGTGGTTACTCCAAGGCTGCCCAAAGATGCCTACAACATGATTTCTCCATCTGATACGTCCTAATAATTACAACATATAAGCTTTTGTTATAATTCAATAAATATTTGTTTATGCTGCTGAATTAACTTTGTCATATTTTTTATTTCAACAATATGATCATTCAGTGTGGCATGTGTTGGGAAGGGCATAAAAGTGGAGTTTTGGTTGAGAAGGTGGAGAGTTTGTTGGTGTCAAGTGGCTGGCCATGTAGTTAGTTGTGTCAATCTTGAAGCTATGGTGGTCACTTATAATGGAGCCTGTTGTCAATGAGGTTGTGTGTTGAGTTCCTTCTTAAATTTTGATGCACCTTTGTATACTAGAATTTTTAAAAGTTACACTTAAAAGGTAAAGATTTTCTTATTTGACTTAGATTTCTATCAGGTGACATTGTGTAGCAGTATAAAATGTGCATTGGTATGAATTTCTTTCCTATCATCTCTATTGGTAGTCATTGTTTAACAAAGGCAGCCGAAGGTAAGTCTTTTTACAAACATGAAAAATGGAATTTTTATGGCTTACAAAGGGATTCTTTGACTGTGTTCCTATTGCTGGTGATCTGACTGAGCTTAAATTCTCATGGAGGGTCTTGTATATGAAGGCTGGGAAATCGTGTTATTCAGCCTGGTCATTTCTTGGAGGTTTTCTTTTTCCTCCAGCTGAGCTTTGCTTCCTGCTAGTAAGAGGATATGAGAAACAAACAAAAAGTTTCTTTTGGAGAAACTAAACACAGTTTCTATTAATAATAATTAAAAAAATGAAATTAAAATTTGATTACAAATGAATTAGAGAAATTTTAAGAGTATTAAAATCACAATTAGAGAATAGGCTTGGGTATTCTAGATACATTCCTTCCATAAGAAAAATTTAAAAAAAAGTAAAAAAGAGCCACAAGAGACTATAAAAAATATTTGATAAAATGAAAAGAGAAATAGCCAAGAAATGCCAGAATCTATATTAAAATTAAAAATGATCATCAAAAACATTTTATACCAAATAAAAAACATTTGGCTTCAACTCATAAGTGCTAGGAATGGACCTTACAATATAGGACAGCCAAAACACTTCCATTGACATCAAAGCTCAAAACTTTGAGCTCCTTCCATGGAAAAGATGCCCTAGGATGCCTTTAGGGAATTTCATCCATGAAGATTCAATCTATTGAGGATTGCTTTAGATCTGCTTGCTTTATGAAGCATGCAATATGCTCCAAAGTTGCCTATTAATTTAGGAAAATTATTTATAACTGAATATAGTAATAAATAAATATTATATGTCATTGATTCATACATACTATTTAGAAGGTCTAATAGTTGCCCTTAAATATGAGATGGACTAATCAATTATTATATTTGATAATATACATGCTATTAAACATGAAGAGAACTAAATTATATAATAATTTGTTGTGCATTGCATGCAACAACACTTGGTTTGCTTAATATTAGTGTCAGTGAATAATCTAATTAATTAATAATTATAAACATATTTATACTTTATAAATCGAGACTAATCTTATTGCATATTAACCATTAGATGATAGAATAAAAAAGATTATACTAGGATGTGTTTAGTAAAGTTTATAAATTATAAACATGTTTATAAATTATAAATAAAAGATTAATATAAATGAATAACAACTATTGGATGGTAGATTATCTTAAAATATTCTGGCATATTTAGATTAGATCTAGCAACTATAGATTTCTATTCTATGGTGTAGGATATTGTTAAACATTTTGCTACATTTGCAAGTTGCAATCATCACTAGTAACTAAATACTTTTCTCAAGATTTCAAGCGATTTTACCTTTTATTTTTGTTAAAACCTTTGTTTTGCTAGTGATTAAATTACCATAAGTACTATTTTGATGCAGGAAATAACCAATACTCGGCATGCTTGACTAAATTATAAACATCTTATATCCCAAAGTTTGACAAAGATGTTCAGAATCACTAAATCCATAGTTGTAGACTAAGCAGTATACTTTGAAGGAGTGATATTGTGTTCATGTACTAAATTAGCATTATAGGGGCTAGAGGAACATGGAAGCTCCAAATTCCACAAGAGAAAACTGTGATAGGACACAAAGTTGATGTGATTATGATTATTTAAAGCATTGTTTAAGAGAGTTTATAAATTGTAAACACAAATGAATAACAATCGCTAAATAGTAACATATCCTAGAATATTCAAGCATATTTTAAATATATTTGCCGGACACTTTTCTGTTCAGACCTACCTGAAATTTTTTATAACGGCTTTTAAAAAAGGAAACGCTAAAGAAGCGACTGAGGGTGTCGCATAGCTGGGATGTGCGATGGGAGTGATAAATCCAGCGAGAGCTTCGCTATGGAGCCCATTAACGAGCAAGAGGGCTGGTGGTGGCGGTGATGTCCTGGAACACGCGAAGTCGCCGGCTCTGCTCCTGGAGCTGCTGCTGGAATGAAGAAGAGGTGGAAGAACTCGAGGGCAATGGCCTCGGATCGTTGAGCCCCAGCCCCTTGGGACTCTGGATGAATCCCAGCTCGCCACCCAGGCACGACGCGGACGGCAGCAGCACCTGGAAAGGCTGGTGTTGACGACGATCATCGCTGTCTCCTCCGCTAAACAGCTGCTGCTTCACGGGAGACGAAGCAGCCGACTTGGAGATTCCGGGAGGTGGTCGTAGAGAAGCATTGCCAGGAGGAGCTGCTGCAACCAAAACCAGAGCCTCATGGGTCCATCGATCGAAAGAAGCAAGAAGCAGGAACTTTTCTTTACCTCCCAGATTGTCGAAGGACTCGAGCGAGAGGGATCTCCGAGCGGTGGCGGAGGGGCGTGGCGGCTTGCTGGGCGAGAACTTGAGGCTGTTGCTGCTCGCGTTGGTGGTGATGGCGCCAGAGTTCGAGTTTGCATTGACGCACAGCAGCTCCAGCTTCTTCTTGAGCGCCTCCGCCGCAAGAAAATGGTGATCCTGCTGCTGCTGGGCGATGATGTTTACGTTGGCGTTCTCATCCGCATCGTCAACAAGATTATACTCCTCCTCCTCCTCCTCCTCGTAGTCCCAGGAATCGTACGTGGGGATCTGCTGGCTTCGCGGCTGGGTTTGCTGCTGCTGCTGCTGGAGGCGATGTTGGTGGATTTCAATCTCTTGCTTGAGCTTGGATTGAGCTTGGGGAGCGTGGGCAACAAGACGCAAAATGCCGGTGCTTGGCAAGTGCTGCGGCTGATGTTGCTGTCCTTGCTCCATCTCCGCCAGCATCTCCTGTGCGCGCTCGTAAGACTTAAGGTGCGAGTCGGCGCCCCAACGAGTATCTGAGGATGCCGGCATCACGCTCTTGAGTAGTACTTTGGCCTCGTCCACGCGACCTTGCTTCATCAAGCAAATGCCCAGGTTACACATCTTGTTATTGTCCGGTTCCATGGACAGAGCTTTCCTGCCAATGATCCACAGCTTATGATCAATCGATTCAATGGCATTGCTTACCTGTAGACTGCCTCCGCTGCGATGAAATCGGATTGCTGCATGTACGCCCAGCCCAGATTCCCCTGCAAAGGACAAGATCGATCGATCGATCGATGAGAAAGAGCAAGAGCAAGAGCAAGAAGTTTCTTTCGCTGACCAGCAAGCGTGTGGCCTCCTGCTCGATGGAAACTTGGAACTTCTTGCCTTGCGAGCGCGCGGTCTTGGTCCGCTTGCCATTGAAGGCGAGGCCCGCGTAGATCAGCTGGAGCTTGTGCTTGAGGAGAGCGATCTGATCGTCCAGCCGGCCACACCTCTGGGAGAGAGAGAATCGCCCAAGTCAGCGATTTCATCGATACATGTCCGAGAGACTGGATTTGGGGGAAAAAGGGGGCTTACCTTGTAGAGATCGAGGAGGACATTGTCCAGGGACTCCTGGGCTTGATCCGAGCAGCGCCCGCGCAGCGATTTTATGGCCTCGATCGCCTCCTCGGGCCGGTTCTGCTGCTTCATCACGATCGCCATGTCCTTGAGCGCGCTGTCCACACGGTCGCCCGCATTGATCGCCGCCCAGAAGAGCGCGATGGCCTTGTCGGGCTCCTTGTCCACCAGCTGCCAAAAGGGGGTTCTCTCAGAGATGCGATGCGAGACAGTGCGCGACCGATCGATCGATCGATCGGATGGAATTGGTCCCTTTCTTTTACCTGGACGTGCTTGGCGCGGACGTAGGGCGAGTCCCCCAGCGGCACCTTGTGGATGACGTGAAAGGAATCGGCGCGCGAGGGAGGGCGCTTGCCGGCGGCGACGAGCGGCTTGACCGGCGAGCAGGGCGCCGATTTGCTCATCCTGGGATGCGGGGGAAGATTGCTAGAGCTGCTGTTCCACATTCTCCTTTCCTCCGCGATCGCTGGAGCGAGCTAGCAGCTAGAAAATCGAGAGGAGCGAGAGCGGGAGGAGGGCGCGCGAGAGAAAGAAGAAGAAGGAGAGAGATTTTCTAACAGCCACAATCCCTGCTCTGCTGCCCGTTGGAACACTTTAGGGCAAGCGCTCTCCCAACGGTCGAATCCAGGTGCGTACGGTATCGCGCGTACGGAGGGAGCGTACGGCGCGGTGGAGCATATTTGGAGAATTAGATCCGCTTGTTCTCCTCGCAAGTTGGATGGCTTCGTTCCAGACAAGAAAGAATTTTTCCAGTTGAATCACTGTGATTTTTGTTTGTTTGTTTTTTTTTTTCATGAGATCATCGGCTACTTATTTGGTTCTTTGTTGCGAGAGAGCGAGTCGCGGATGAGAGTGTGCGTGAGCTCCTTGGGCAATCCCATGACGCTGTCAAGAGTTCCAATCTAGAAAAACCAGAGCAAAGGCACGCTTTTGGTTTGGTGCTTGGATTCTTCAAACCGGAAATTCCTTTTACCATGGACTGGACAAATGGAGAGACGAGGGGATGCTCCACCAGGAGGCCGCCGGCGGCATACAGGACCGACCCTTCCTTGATCTGAAACAACAAACGAGTAAAGTTTTGGAATCCTTGCCAAGCTCTCGGGAAGGCAAAGCAAAAGACAAAGAGCTATTTACCAGATCGTCGATTACTTGCTCGGGAATAGGATGGAAGTAAATCTGCGAAGAAGAAACCAAGCTCGAGAAAGACCAAAAAAAAAAAGAAGCTTTGGTTTTCTTGCCTCGGCTTTGTCGATGCTACCATTGCTGACTCCAGTGGTCACATTTGTCACAAGCACGGCACTCACTGTGATGGCTGGGTCTCGCGCGTAGCCTGCCAAAACAAAGCATGGAAGAATCACAAAGTGGAAACGAAGAACCACGTAAGAATGAATCTCAAGCTTACCAGCGATGAAGGTGCGAGCTTCGTCGCCATTCAATGGCTTCTCGCGCACAACACCTCCGTTCACCACGACCGGTATTTTCAAGAACGAGGGAGATTGATCGGGTGAGACAACGTTGTACGAGCGACAGGAATAAGAACTCACCTGGTCCGCGGTGATGAGAAGAACTTCTTCGTCCGAAGTTTCGAGGCTTGTGATCCGTGGCAAGATAGCTTGAGCCTGCGAAAACCGCTGATGGTTGATGCGCGTGAACTTAAGGACGTCTCACCTTGGCGTGAGCAAGCGCCATGACCAGCTCTTCCGGAGTTTCTCTTCGAATGGCACGCTCATCGATGTCCGCCGACTGGAAAAAGAAGAGTATGAGAAGGAAAAAGAAGAGAGAGAGGCTACCATCACAGTGAAGTTGTAACCCATCTCTCGAAGAACCGCTTGCCGCGTTTGTGAGGAAGAACCCAGTATGATCTACCAAAGGAAAATGGCGGTGGAACGCTTGTATATCGATCGAACACCGCATACCTTGACACTCCCGAGCTCTTCCAAGCCCATTCTTACACAAGTTTAGGGCACCCAGAGGCGCTGAGCCATGGCTGAGGACGTTCGCTCCTACCTCGAGCCTTCATACTGGTAAGCCGTTAGCAACTTTGGTGGATCATCATCCCTTGCAGGGACGAGAGGTTTTCCAGGGAGAGCCACTACGAGTGGTTCAAGGACTACTCCCAGTTCCAGCATTTGATCCACGCTCATTGCAGTGGCAAAAACGCAAAGGTACGTGTTTGGCTAAGCAAGGCGCTGGTTTCCTCACGTAGAGGAGGAGTTCACACTAGATTTTGGAACTTGGATGTGGCAACTCGCGCATGAGCGAAGATATGTACCGAGACGGCTTCACGGACATCACAGCGACTGATCTCTCGCCTGTGGCTGTGGAGAGCAAGCGACGGAGATGCTCCGACTTGAACTATGGTATTCTTCTCGGCATTTCTTCTTTTCAACTCTGTCATTCTTGTCTCTCCAGGCATCAAAGTTCTTGTAGCTGATATCATGGACATGCCATTCAAGGACGCGAGCTTCGACGTTGTGATCGAGAAGGGAGTGATGGTATGATACAGAGATAATGTTTGGCTTTTATATCGGATCAAAATCAAAGGAACAAACAGGATGTTCTCTTCGTGGACAGCGGGAGTCCCTGGGATCCAGAGCCCCAAACAAGAGCCCGAGTTGACGCGACGCTCAAAGAGGTACACCGAGTTCTTGGAGCGAATGGTGTTTTCATCTCAATAGCATTTGGCCAGGCAAGAAAGACTTTGATCTTAGAGCTTCTACTCTCTTTTAACTCCTTGCCTTGACAGCCTCACTTTCGGCGCCCCTTTTTCGAGGCCAGTGACTTCGAGTGGTCCATGGAGTACTCAACCTTTGGAGACTCGTTCCACTATTATTTTTATACGCTAAGAAAGGTTGTCTCTTTCCTCCCCGATCAAACTTTTAAACACTCTAACATCGTTTCACCAGGGAATGGCCAGAAAGGTTTTGCCTCGAGACTCGATGGAATTCACAAGCATTGACATGGTGCAGGAGCAAATGGATGACGAAGATTATATCATGAGAACCATGATGGTCGATGACGACAAAACCACGTCCAGTTGATCGATCATTCCAAATGTCCTCGACGTCCTAGCGGCCCGGAAACTCTCTCGCAGCCTATATCCCCATCGTGTAACTGGCAGGCCGTCCAGGCAACATTGTCGCATGGCGGGCCAAATCCTTGGCGAGCACTCACTCGCACCACACACCCCGCCGACCAGCACGCTGCTCTAGTGTGGCAGCACGCCAAAGTCGATGCAGCGCCATCCGGGGTCCAAATCGCCGCAGTGCTTGCAAGCGAGAAGAGCGCTCAAGAACGATGTCTCATAGGGCCAAACCGACGTAGCAGCACGCTTGCAATCCCCACAGCTCGAGCACCACGCTATCATGGGGCACTGTGTCTAAGACTATCAAGCAACCGGAACGTCCGATCCTGGCAGTCCAGACGTTTCTTGCTGGCATTCTCACAAAGGTGGCCTCCGCTTCCAGAAGATAGATATATGCACAGGCGGTCCGTCTGGAGTCCGAGGTAGTGGACAAAACGCCCGTGGTTGTGAAGATGCTGGCTGGAGCTGGATTCGTAGGCGATGCCAGGAACGTTTTTGAGAGCTGCAAGAGTTCGCGTAACGATCCGGTGTCGTGATCAAGGCGTATGCACAGCATGGAAACATGAAGGAAGTTATCGATATTTTCCGGGGACCGTCACCTTCGTGAGTGCATTCTCATCGCTTGCAGCCGGGCCGGTTTGCTGGAGGAATCCATCTACCAGTTTGGATCTATGAGCTCGGATCACTGGCTCGCTGGGTGTAAGATCCACAGAACGAGCGAGGAAACTCTGAGAACGATGGAGTCCCGGTCGGGCGGGCTGTGGAGACCAGGGAGAGGATGCTCTCGTCTAACCGGGGCGGGAAGAGTGTCGTGCTCGTGGGATTGTTCGATCCGAGGCGAGCAAACAGCAGATTGATCAGGATTCGCTCGTCATTCTCACCAGCGCTATGCCCGAAGATGAAGATCCAGCATCCGGTGGAAGACAAGAGTTGCTCCCCCGGAAGAGGTATGACTATTTTCTCTGCCTGTGATCTCTTGTCCATGTGGATTGGATTGGCCAAAAAGACACAAAGTTCCTCTTTGGGTTCCTTTAGATTTGGAAGAAGAAATATTTGTCCACTACTGACGTACACTATCATCCGGAACAACAAGCCTGGTGGATTTAGCTCAAGGACGACGAGCTGCTGAACACTAGCACCAAGAGCATCCCAAGAGAAGATGGGTACTCACAGCTTAGAAAGTCTAGCACTACTTTTGCTGAATTTTGTCTTGGAAGCCAAGACCAAGTATCAAAGAGTGATGAAGCTAGAATCGAATGATCTACGATGGTTGCTGGCTATAAACATTGGCCACGATCGAGCAAGCTCCAACCACGTTCCATCACTACTTAGCAGCGAATCACCCATTGGCAAATAGAATATTCTAGGGTATATAGATTTCTCTTGTTTTTAGGTGGTCCGTTGTGGAGATGGATCACATGGCACTGTTGTACAATAGCCACATACTTTCATGGTGACCATAGTCAGTGGGGTGTGGGGAAAAAGGTGAAAGTTTAAAGCTCAAAATGCACAAGATCGTGTCCTAATCAGATTTGGTACTTCTCAAGTCTAATGGCCAAAGCATGCTTGCTCCAGTGGTTAACATTGAGGACCCAATCAGCCTATGTGGCATGAAATATATGCTAATTGAGTTATCAGCGCGAAATGCTAGTCTCCTTCCACGGGAAAGTATTCTCCAAGGCTGGATCCATTTATGATAGGTAAGCTCACTTTGCTTTCATTTCTTTCTAATGTTATAGAACGAATGTAGGTTCGAGTGGGTCAAGCAAAGGTGACTCTGGCGGTGGTGTATTCGACATCAACAACCCCAGGATTTTATTGAATATTGGACACAGTCCCAGCATCACAGATGCGGTTCAAGGTCGATAGCGGCATGGATAGTACCAGGTCAAGCAATCAAGGCACCATGATCACTGTCTTCTGTCTATTTATGCTCTATCTACGTTTGCTTGTTATTCAGATTTTCAAGTGTGCTATGTTTACTTTTCAGCGTTGTAATTTGATAAGTGTGCTGTCCTTTGTTTATTCACTTGGCTCGACCGGATGTGCCGGAGCGGCTCCAGCTGTTTCAAGTTAAACTTGCCTTGAATTTAGAGTTGCACGCTAGATTTGTTAAGATTACCTGAAAGATGTCATAGGGGAATCTGGGCTGGGCGTACACGGAGCATCGCTCGCTCGATGAATCGATTGATCATGCATCATCAAACCGGACAACAACGAGATGTGTAACCTGGGCATCTGCTTGATCAAGCAATGTTGCGTGGACGAGGACAAAGTGCTACTCAAGAGCATAACGAAGGTATCCTCAGATAATCTCAGGGGCGTTGAATTGCATTTTAAGACTTACGAAATAGCACAGGAGATGGAGAAAGGACAGCAACATCAGGCGTAACACTTGCCAAGCATTGGCATTTTGCGTCTTTGTGCCCACGCTCCCCAGCTCGAGCAAGAGATTGAAATCCCCTCCAGCAACAACAGCAGCAGCAAACCCAGCCGGAAAGCCAGCAGATGCCCACGTACGATTCCTGGGACTACGACGAGGAGGAGGACGAGTATAATCTTGATCTTGCGGTAGAGGCGCTCAAGAAGAAGCTGGAGCTGCTGTGCGTCAATGCAAACTCCAATGCCAAGCAACAGCCTAAACTTCTCCGCCATCGCCAAAAGTTATTTCTTATTCATTCTCCTGATGGTCGATCGACCCATGATGGCTCTCGTTTTGGTTGCAGCAGCTCCTCGTGGCAATACTTCTCTACGACCACCACCCGAAATCTCCAAGTCGGCGGCTTCCTCTCCCGTAAAGCAGCAGCTGCTTAGCGGAGGAGCTAGGGATGATCGCAAGGCCACCGCCCTCGAGTTCTTTCACCTCTTCGTCATTCCAGGAGCAATTGCAGCAGCTGCAGGAGCAGAACCGGCGACTTTGCGTGTTCCAGGACATCACCGCCACCACCAGCCCTCTTGCTCGTTAATGGGTTTATCACTCCCATCAGCGATGCGACACCTCAGTCGCTCGGATCTCTGTCTTTAAAATTTGTAGCGATTCCTTCTTAAGCAAACGGAAATTGCCACAAATGTTCCACAATATCCTCGGCGTACATGAAGCCAGAACTTAAGATTGATTAAGAAAAGAAACTCTTGCCGTTCACATGTATGCAGAACATGCAGGATGGATCTCTTTCGTCCTTGGCTACGTAGAGCCTATTTTGCACAGTTGCAGCTCTTCCATGTTAATCTCGAAGTCCAAAATTTAGTTCAGTAACTATTCGCTTATCAAACGACCACCTTTCTATGCCATGGTAGGCCGATACTGTGCCACCGCCTGGAGTCGCCCTGGGTATTTTACTCGGTACCAGTCCTTCTTGTAGGCCTCCATGAAAAACACCGTGGCGTTGTCGATGGGGAGCCCATAGACACTACCATCCTCGTCTGTCCTGACAACAATCCCACTCACCCTGAGCTCCTTGGCCGAGTCCCATCTCACGATAATATCGCCCGTTTGGACACCAGGTACGATGCCAGCCGGTTCCTTTGATAGGTAGAGCTTCTTGATGATCGCAGGGAGCTCAACTCCCCCAGCCCCATCCTGCGCCCGCCGCACAAAAACTGCCTCTTCGTTTTGAGGCCCACCCGGCATGAGGGGCACCCCAGGCAGTTTCAGCTGAATCAGAAAAACAGCCAATCAGGGTGAATCAGGATTTTGAAGCAGCAGCTTACAGGTTCCAAGAGCTCAACAGCAGCCACCCAGGGGTGCACCAGGGAAACAACTTCGCCTTTCACAGTCTGCCCATTGATCGTCACAGTAACTTCTTCGCCTTCCTTCCACACAATCGTGTCTTTGTAGCCCACAACGATGCACGTCGGTTGTGGGCTCAGTGCTAAGGTCGTATCAGGGAGTCCAATGAAGAGTGCAGTACCTTTATTGTCACAGGTGCCCACAAACCGGAGCAGATCCAATGCGCCAGGAGGCGGGTTCACAGCCGTCGCCACAGAGGAAGAACCAGATACCATGGAGGTCATCACGGAGGAAGAACCAGAAACCATGAAGGTCTTCATATGCGCCTCCATTTGCTGTGAAAGCTAATGAGGTTGTCATTCCCAATCGAAGCTATTTACTTACATCAAGTTTCCTCTGCATCTCATCCAGCCTCTCATCCAAATTCTTCCGCTGCATCTCATCCAGATTCTTCCGCTGCATCTCATCCAGCTTCTTCCGCTGCATCTGAAAGCAGCAGCAACCTGAAGGACAAGGCACGAGTTATAGGAACGCAAGGGCTCAGTTACCTGCAAGCTTCATACCGACAAAACTTTAGGGCACCCCACCTAGAAATAGCATCATTGAGATTTTGGATGAGTACCAAGACGGCTTCACGGACATACATTGACTGATCTCTCGCAAAATCAAAGGAAGGATGGGTTTCAAACAGGATGTTCTCTTCGTGGACAGCGGGAGTCCCACCCCAAGAGTTGACGCGACACTCAAAGAGGTACACCGAGTTCAAGAAAGACTTTGACTTTCAACGCGGCTACTCAACCTCGTTCCACTATTATTTTTATACGATGAGAAAGGTTGTCCCTTTTCTCAAACTTTAGAACGCAACGTTTCACCAGAGAAAGATTTCGAGACTCTCTGGAAAGCACAAGCATTGACATGGTGCAGGAGCAAAGAGATTACTTCATGACAACCATGATGATCGACGACAAGAAAACCATTGAAAGAAGCTACTGGAGGCTTCACAGCAGGAAGAGGATTCACAGGAGGAGGGTTCGTAGCCGTCGTCACAGAGGAGGAAGAACCGGAGGTCTTCACAGGCGCCTCCATTTGCTATAGAAGGAAGCGAGCCTGTCATTCCCAATTCAAGCTATTTACTTACCTCAAGTTTCCTCAGCATGTCATCCAGCTTCTGCTCAATCTTGCTCGCAAACAGCTCTGCACTCGTCTTGCTCGTAATTCACGCTAACAGCCTCAGGGCACCCAGAGCCGGTGAGCGATCGTAGCAACCTTGACGGATCATCTTCCTCACAGGGTTTCCAGACTCCAGCGTTTAATTCATGCTCACGGTACGAGTTCATTCACAGCGAGCGGATTATCTGGAAGGGAACTTGGATGTGGCAACTCGCGCACGATATGTACCAAGATGGCTTCACAGACATCACAGCGACTGATCTCTCGCCTGGAGCGGAAGCGACGGAATGCTCCGACTTGTGGCATACATGCCATTCAAGGACGCGAGCTTCGACATTGTGATCGAGAAGGTAGGATACAAAGATAGTGTTTGGCTTTTAGATCGGATCAAAACTAAAGGAAGGATGGGTTTTAAAGAGGATGTTTAGCGGGAGTCCCTGAGATCCCGAGATGACGCGACGCTCAATGGGGTACACGGAGTTCTTGAAGCAATGATGTTTTCTCTATCGCATTTGGCAAGATCGAAAACTTGGATCTTAGAGCTGCTCTCTTCTGACTCTTTGCCTTAAGCCTCACCTATTTCGAGGCCAGTGGCTTCGAATGGTCCATGGAGTACTCAACCTTTGGAGACTCGTTCCACTATTATTTTTATAAGCTAAGAAATGTTGTCTCTTTCCTCCCCGATCAAACTTTAAAACGCTCTAACATCAGGGAATGGCCAGAAAGGTTTTGCTTCGAGAGTCGACGGAAATCACAAGCAATGACATGGTGCAGGAGAAAATGCATGACGAAGATTATCTCATGAGAACCATGATGATCAACGACGACAGAACCACGTCCAGGTGATCGATCATTCCAAATGTCCTCAAAGTTTCAGAGTTTCTCTTGGGCTATATCCCCATCATGTAACTGGCATGCAGCCAGGAAGGCCGTCCAAGCAACATGGTCGCACGGCAAGCTCTGGGCCACATCCTTGGCGAGCTCCATCTCCCCGGACTTTGCGAGTAGCTCCAGCACGCAGCTGTAGTGTGGATTGCCTGGCAGCACTCCAAAGTCGAGGCTGGCGGAGACGAAGCAGCGCCATCCGGCATCCAAATCGCCGCAGTGTTTGAAAGCAAGAAGAGCGCTCAAGAACGATGTCTCATCGGGGACTTCTCCAGCCAAGACCATCTCGTGCCAAACCGACGTAGCAGCACGCTTACAATCCCCACAGCTCGAGCACCACGCTATCATGGTGTTCCACGATACCAAGTTTCGGATGGGCATTCTGTCGAAGACTAGAACCAAGCGGTCGAGGTGACCGGCGCGTCCAAAAGCAGCGATACTGGCAGTCCAGGCCGTGACGTTTCTTGCAGGCATTCTCGCAAAGGTGGCCTCCGCCTCCATAAGATGCCCATTATAGATATAACCCGCTAAGAGGGCGTTCCAAGAGACCACGTCGGGAGCCTCTGTGGTATCAAACAATACCTTTGCTTGCTCGACATGCCTGGCTCGGGCATATGCTGTCAGCATTGAGTTTACGGTGACTGTAGTCCGCTCCGGCATAGTTTCAAACACACAGCTTGCCTGCTCAACTTTACCAGATTGGGAATATACTTGCAAGAGCAAAGTCCATGACACCACGTTAGTTTCTGGCATTTTGGTAAACAACATTTCGGTTTCTTTACAAAGCCCATTTTCGGCAAATGCTCTAAGGAGTATGTTATATGACACTAAGTTTCTTACTGGCATTGTGCTAAACACGTTCATGCAAGAATCCAAATCACCACTAATCAAGTAACCACTTATCATGATGTTCCAGGACACTATATTTCTTTCGGCCATGCTCTTGAACAACGCTTCTGACTTACGCATATCGAGGCTTTCGCCATATGTGGCAAGCAAGGAGTTACAAACCATGAGGTTTTGTACAGGCATATCCAAGGAAATCGCTAACACCATATCCACATCACGTACTTCAGACAGCGCTTGCATCAGTGTCGCGCAAGAAACCACGTCCCTCTCGGGCATTCTCGAAAAGATTATCTTTGTTTGTTCAAGCTGCCCACTCAAGGCATATGCTGAAAGGAGAGCGTTCCAAGACACTAGGTCGTGCTCAGCCATTTCGTCAAAGACATGCTTGGCTTGCTCCAGCTGACCATTATTTGCAAAACCCGTGATTTTTGTGTTCCATGAAAGAATGCTAAACTCCGGCATGCGCTGCGCTAACGCTTCCATTTCTGACAGGTACCCGGAATTGGCATTTGCAAGCAGTATCACATTCCAAGCCACCACATTTGTCAGCGGCATCGCACCGAACAAGAGCATCGCCTCGTGAACGCAGCCACTGTGGGCATACGCAGCGAGGATGGCAGTCCATGAGAAAAGGTTTGGAACGCGAATGGAATCGAAGACCGCCCGAGCGTCGATGATGCTTCCACATCGATCGTAGGTTCCTATGAGCAAGTTCGCCAGGAACTTCTCGTGCCGCAGTGCTGGGTTCTGGGAAATGCAACTGTGGATGCGTCTGGCATCCACCAAGTCACTGCATTTGTGGAGAAGGCTGGCCAGCTCGGGTCGGAATGTATTTGCCACCATCTTTTCATGTTGCTTGGCTTGTGACTGATCATATCATGTTTATTTATATGCTTTTGGCATCCGTGGCAGTGGGACTCTTGCCAGATGTCGCTACACAGATACGTACTTACATGGTTAAAGATGATTGAAACTTTGTCAATGGACCTAATGATCGTGTTGTGCTCCTCAACTTTCATCATTCTCTTGGTTGTTTGGAGTTACAAGGTGTGCACAAATCTTCTACCAAGTCCATGGGGATCGGCACTTGCTCAGAGAAATATATTAAGTGGTGTTGTTTCAAGCCAGGAGCTAGTCAAGGAGCGCTTCACTTTGGTCAATTTTGTCCCTTGGTATTTGAGATGGCTGGTTGGCGGATTCCCCAGCACAAAGGTGTGCATGCAAAGCTAGACAAGTTCTTGTAAAAGATTGTGGACGAGCACAAAGGCAACACCCGGGAATGCCTTCCTTGACACCACGCTCCTCTTCTTTGGTGAGGGAACACAAGGAAACTTGCATAGAAGTGTCAAAGTTTTTTGTGGGGTTTCTTTCAGGACATGTTTGCTGCCAGAACTGATTCATCTGTTGTTCCAAGCGACTGGCTGCTGGCAGCGGTACTGCAAAAGCCTCGGGGCTTAACACAAGCTCAAGAGGAGCTCGACAGGGTTGTGGGAAACGGGAGAATTTTGAGAGAGTCAGACTTTTCCAAGCTGGAATACCTTGGAGCAATCATCAAGGACACATTTAGACGATAGCAGCAATCCTTGGTATGAGATTCCCAAAGGAACCACAGCTTGCTGGTTAATGTGGGCAGTGCAAATCCACCCTATTTCTACCCAACCACTTTATTTTGAGCCAAGACTTTTTGATCTCTGGCTTTTGAACATTTCATTAAATCACTTTATTTATCCATTTTGACTCTTCATTATTTATATCATCACCTACCATGTGTGAATAATATATTTTGGTAGAAAGATTTATTAAACCCCCTAGGGTTTTAAAAGTTGATCATTTTAGGCTTTCACTCTATGGTGAAGTGCAATGGTTTTAATATTATTTCATTTCAAGTCTTTAGATTTTAGAATTTTAGTTTTAATATTTTTATATGTCATTACTTTTATCCCGTGTTAGTCATTCTTTTATCCTTTTTTAAAGATTTGTTTATCAATTGGTTCATTTTAATCTTTCAAATGGTTGTTTAGGTATTTCATTCGTGCTTTAGATTTTTCAAATTAAAGCTTCTAGTTTAAACATATTACACTTATTTAAATTTTACCTCTCAACTATTTCTATATGTTATATATTTAGTTTCACTATGAGATTTATAGATTTGTGTTTTACAATTAAATGATTCCATTGATAAAAAATCTTCTAGAATTAAAAGATTGACAACTTACATAAAGTAGAAAGCAATATATATCATAATACATGATATTGGCTTAGAGGCCATAAAGGGTAGTCAAAAAGTAAAGATCCTTTAGATTTAAACATCAAGAGATAAAATTAAAATATAATGCTTTATTGTGAGTTGTTAAGGATATAAAATGTGATTAACATTGCATCCTATAATACAATACCTTTATACTTTCTAAAGAATGTTTCCCCTTTTTACCAAATCTATTTTAAAACAGAGGAAGTTTTTTAGATATAAAGATAAAAAAATTGCATAAAGAATGCAAGGATAAAAGAAGTAACATTTAAGCTAAGAGAAGTTTGAGTAGAAGTAGAAACTAACATAAAAGAAAATAAACTTTCAAAACAAAAATTAAAGTAAAATGTACAAATTAAGTAAAATTTTAGTGAGGATGCAAAATATGTTGGATCCTAAGTGGTAATAGAGTGGTACATTTGTGTTGTCTAGACCATAAATACAATTAAAATTATATTTTAATTAACATATGATATAAAACATGACATAGAGATGTATGGATATTCTCTAGATTGAAGACAGAAAAATTTACACTAGAAAACAACAAAAATTGTTTAAAAGTATTGTAAAAATTAATGAATAATGAAGAGATTTTGGTTATTACTGTTATTTGAAGTAAAATTTCATTATAGCTCATAATAAACTTCTTAAAACAAAGCATCTCCAAACAAAAAATTTTTTGGGCTCAATTTTTGCAAAGATTCTTTTGGATCAAACAGGTTACTAAATTGCTACAAACCCATTTGATTTTGTGGGCTAAGAACAAGGTACAACCTTTTTCTTGGCTTCAAAAGTTTCTAATGAACAAGTGGAAACTTCTGGCTAAGAATTGTGTGTGCTTTTGAAATAACAGATCACTGGGTCCTTTGGAACTCTCATGTTATTGGAAGGACTCAATGTGGGCCAATCAAGGCGACTTAGACTGGTACAAGGTGGCTACTAACCATTCTTTATAGTCCAATTTAAATAGTTGGGGCAATATTGACACAAGCACCCAAGAAATGGATCTAGCACTTGTTGTGAGCTCTGCAGCTTTCATCACTCTCTTGGTCTTGTGGTTCTGGAAATCTTCCTCAAATCTTCCACCAGGTCCATGGGGATTGCCCCTGATTGGCCACTTACACTTGCTAGCAGGAATGCCCCCACACAGAGCATTCCAACGCATAGCCAAGAAGTATGGTCCTATTACTTCATTGAGGCTGGGAATGATCCCAACGGTGGTGATTTCCAGCCAAGAGCTTGCCAAGGAGATCTTCACCACACACGATCTAAATTTTGCTTCCAGGCCATACTTGGTTTCAGGTGACCACTTCAGCTATAACTTTTCTGGAATTGGAACCAGTCCCTATGGAGAGCTATGGCGAAACACCCGCAAGCTGTGTACAATGGAGCTCTTCACGGCCAAGTGTATTGACTCCTTCTCTTGGGTCAGAAGGGATGAGCTTTCTCGTACCTTGGAGGGGATTTTGAAGGACCATGGCGATGACAAACCTGTGGAGGTGAGAAAAGTGGCCAGTGTTTTCTCCTTCAACATCACATCACGAATTTTGATGAGCAAGAGGTACTTTGGTGATGAAAACGTAGATGCCCATGCCATGGAATTCAAGGAGCTCAATGACAAAGTTCTTGAGCTGGCGATCAATCCCTGCATTAGCAACTTGGTGCCCTGGTACTTGAGATGGCTGGACTGGCAGATTCCTCGCTACAAGCGAATCCATGCCAAGCAAGACGAGTTCTTGCAGAAGATTGTTGAGGAGCACAAGGAGACGACACGGGAATGCAAGGACTTCCTCGATATCATGCTCGACTTCTTTGGAGCAGGGACACAAGGGGAGACTTACGTAAAGGCGAATCTCATAGTAAGCTTTGCAAAACTTCTCCTTGATTGCTTATTTCTTATGCTACAAATGCCCAGGAGATGTTAATGGCTGGTACTGATACCATCACCACCGTGAGCGAGTGGCTCATGGGTGCAGTGATGCACAATCCTCGAGTCATGGCCAAGCTCCACGAGGAGCTCGACAGTGTTGTGGGCAACACTCGGATGGTGCAAGAGTCGGACCTCCAAAAGCTCGAGTACCTCCAGATTGTCCTCAAGGAATCACTCAGACGCTATCCTCCGGGAGCCTTACTCATACCGCGCATCTCAAGCCAAGCAGCAACCGTTGGCGGCTTTCACGTTCCAAAAGGGACCACTCTCCTGGTGAATGCATGGGCGATTGGAATGGATCCGGCAGTGTGGGAGAATCCCACACAATTCCACCCGGAGCGCTTCTTGGGGAGCTCCATCGATGTCAAAGGCCAAAACTTTGAGCTCCTCCCGTTTGGATCTGGGCGGAGACAGTGTCCGGGAATGGGCATGGGATTGCGATCAGTGGAGCTGCTCGTGGCAAATCTCATCCATGGCTTCGACTGGAGCTTTGTGCCTGGGACAACGCCGTCCATGGAAGATGTTTTCTTCACTACTGCGCAGCTCAAGACCCCATTGCAAGCCATGGCGACTCCAAGGCTCCCCAAGGAGGTCTACATCAAAGTTTAGAGATCACTTAGTGGACTTTGCTACAAAGACTATTCTACTCGTATTAAATAGCTGGTTTTTCCATGTCTATATGCTCATATGTAGGCTTTTGGATTGCAGCAATTTGTTTGTCAGATCCAAATTCCAAGGAGTCCTCAAGGCCTCGCTCGATCAATCCAAAAGAGTCTCCTTCTCATTTATGTACTAAGTAAGCATCTACAAAGGTTGGAAGAGATTTTCTTCCACTGTGAAAGAAAGGAGACACCGATAAAAAGAGGCCCACGAAAGCTTTGCTTGTGTCACAGAGTGTAGCAGTCCAAGTGGTGATTATTCTGAGTGGCATTGCATGCTCGAGCTGGCCCAAAGATCAGCTCCACGCAAAAGTTTTGGCCGATTATCGATCGTCCGTTCCTAGTCACCTTGTCGAGATCGCCTTTGCCCAGCTGCCAAACATTCCAATCATCAGATCTAGCACTTTATTTGCTTTTTGGCAGAAAATTCTAGCCTCTTTTGCTTACCTGCATCATGCTACCCGATATAAAGTAAGTGTTGAAGCAAAAGTAGAAGAGCCTTCCACCGTTTTTGTTGTAGAAAATCGCCCTCACATCGCCTGATACCTGGATTTGCAAGGTTTCATGTCAAAAAAGCCCTGGAAACGAACGAAAACGATGCCACTCACGCATATAGGCTTGTCGAAGTAATGGTCGAGGCAGTCCTTCTTCAAGAGGTTCGGCCTCTCCGTGTCCATCTGGACGACGAAGCGCGGTTGATTCTCCTTGCTCTTCTCATCGCCTTCCTTTGGGAGGAAGGATAAGTAGTAGCGTGGACTTACTGTGCGAACAAATCCTTTCTTCAATGGCTCGCACTGCCCCGACGCAATCTCCACGGGAGACTTGTAGAGCTCTCCTGGCTCCTGCATCAAGTCAGTCACGAGACGTGATTGCTTGGAGATAGTTGAGCGCGACGATAGATTGTTACGTACCTCTTGGATTTCCTTGATCGAAAACTTCACAGCATCCGTCGAATTTGTATCATACAGACGAATCCTTCGCAGTTCTCGGGGCTTTGGAGGTGGAATGCGAACGTCCGGGACACCTCCATCGCTCGGAAAGACAAGGATTTTACTCCAGTAGCGAACATACCTTCGCTGGCTCGGGATCGTCACCTGGAAAGCTCTAGCTGGTCAGTTTCGAGAAAAAAAAAAAGGAAAAAGAAAAAAAGTCTAGTGCCAGGCTTCTTACTCCTTGGTTATTATATGTGCGACGACTCCCATACAACTGCAAAGCTTCCTCGGCTGGCATTCCTTTGTACACGAGATACGCGCAAACCATCAAGCCCGTCCGGCCTTTCCCAGCCTGTGCAGACACAAAGGCAGAAAATAATCAAACATGGAGAGCGTTTTGGTACGAGCAATGTAGCTGCCAAGCTACGAGACAAAATGCCAAACTCTGGAACAAAGTGGAATGCAAAGTCTAAAATCTAGGCTTACTTTGCAGTGGATCACCGCCACGTTCCGAGGGTCCTGTAGAAGCCAGTCCTCCACGCTCTCGCAGAAGAGCTGGATGAGCGACAGTGGCGGTACGTGCATATCGTCGAAGGGAAACGTCTCGACTCGGCCATGGAAGCTGCCGGGATCATAGCTGCATTCCACGCAGAGATTGTAAACCTGGTGGAAGAAGAAAAACCCCAAGCATCAGGAAAGGAAATCTATGATACCAAAGAAATGGAAAAGCTTACTTTGTAGTAAGATCCGTGCTTGAGGTCGAGCGCTCGCTGGACTTGCCACATAGGATTCCGATACATGGCGGTCATGTCCTCGGCGGGGAAGGACATGGCCACGAGTCTGTCCGTGATGTAGGACATATCCAAGTTATAGCCCCCGAGAACAAGGCGGCGGCGCTCCTTGGAGACGAGGCTCCGGAGATAGTGCGACCCGGCAATGAATTCGATAAGCCTTCCTTTGAGGAATCCTCCATGGTTTGTCAATTGCCCGCCACCACCAGCAAGAGAGTGCTTGGCCCCCGTCGTGCCCGCCCTTTGTTGTTCTTCCCCTTTTCCTTGTGCTTCCTCTCCCTACTGTGGAGAATATCGAGACGAGAGAATCGCTACTTGTCCTTGGCGAGAGGCCCTGCTACATTGTTGCATCCCTGCTGCTTCCTGCCCGATAGGAACGATTCCACGCACCCCTTCCTGAATTTGCACTTCCGGCCTTGCCCGATGCTAATCGGCAGTGAGGGCGCCACTGGAACCGCGGCAACGGCGCTCACAGCCACGGCCGCTGCCCAAGCGGGAGATCGCGGATCGATCTTGACGGATTCCAAGGCGGGCGGATGAGCGCTGCGGGAATTTGACCGCGCGGAGCACCAATGCGGCCGGCTTACATCCGATGCCGCGTGGAATTCGCGATAAGTGACCCCGATCTGAGCTCCCGATCGACGATCTAGCTAGCCTAGCGCCTCTCCTCTCCAATCGCTCCGAGGACGCACAGACACACAATCACGGACACCCAAATCCCTAGGTTGCTGCCAGCCGTTGATAGCATGCCCGGTTATCTAATGGCCACGACAACAGCACTCCTCGTGGCCGTCCAATTTACAACGTACGGTCACGATGCAAAGGCGGCCGTCCACGTGTCCTTTTTGCCACGTTGGATTTCCGGACGTTGCGTAACACACCATGTGTCCTTGGAGATTTGACTTTCTCCAAAAACCCAAAAACTCTCTCTCGCGTCCCTCGCTCTCACGAAGAAATACGCAAACAAAAACACCGTCTTTTTTTACATTTTCATGTTCTGGGTCATGATCTTGGCGAAGTTTCGTAAGCTAGATGATTGCCAGCAAGGAGTTTGCTGCGTGATCACTACTGGATGATGCGTGTCCCACATTGTCCGAGTCGTGATAGCTGCGCTGCGCAAATTCCCTGTAGTGATTGCCGCAAAGCTAGCTTCCACGGGGAGCTGGAAAAAGAAAAAAAAAAAAAAGCGTTTGATTGATCACGCGAGCTTCTGGATGAAACTTTTGGAAATGGAATGGAAAGTTTTACGTACCTTGCGGCTTGGTCGTGGTGGTGGCTTTGGGATCCTCTTCGCTCTTGGGTGTTTTCTTCTCCGTGGAAGCTCCCCTGTTCTTGAGCTCCGGAATGCCCAGCTCCTCCGCGAGATCGCCCTTGACGCTCTCGTGGAAAGGATCCATGCCTTCCTCGCTGGCGGCGTGGCCGAACCCCTCCTCGACTGACCTCGTCGCGTACTTGTCTCCGTACGCTTCAAACATAAACTCCTGGCTGCGAAAGAAAGAAATAAAAAATCACGATGATCAGCAAAGCTCTCCCAAGATCATCACGAGGATATAAATGCTTCGCTCATTAAAATCTTTGGCCTAAAAGCTCTCACGGGAAGAACGCACGATCACGGAATGCCTATCGAAATTTCGAGAAATGCCAGTACCTGGATTTGGCGCCTCCTTTCCCGGCCTCCACCGGCTGCTGGTTAGATGGATTCACAGGCTGATGGAGATTGTGCTCGTCCTTCTTCGTGCCCTCCCGCTGATCCATCGCCTTGCAGCAAACGAAGCCCCGGCCGCGCGAAGGAGGAGGAGGAGCAAGAAAGATGAGCGGCGATGGAGGACGATAGATCGACGCCGCTACCGCCGAGCCGAAGACCTGCTGGCGAAGAAATGAGGCTGAGAAGGGCAACATCCTGTTCTTCCCTCGGCATTCCTCTTGGGCTAGGGCTTACCTTGTATCGACGCGTGGCCCTCCTGCATGGTCAACACGTGTCGTGGAGAAGATTCTGGGGTATATGCTGCTAGGGTTTTGGTAGGGTTTGCGGGAAATGGCGTCCCGGGAGGAGTATGATCTTCCGTGGGTGGAGAAGTATCGGCCGCAGAAGCTCGCGGATGTGGTTGGGAACCAGGATGCGATCGGGAGGCTCCAGGTGATTGCTCGCGATGGCAACATGCCCAATCTCATCTTCTCGGTGAGTGAAATGCGATCCCGATTGAATGCTCGATTCTCAATCGCGTTTTGTGTGTGTCAAGGGTCCTCCCGGGATTGGGAAGACGACGTGCATTATGGCGATGGCTCACGAGATGCTGGGCGCTTTAGCCAAAGAAGCGGTGCTTGAGCTCAATGCCTCGGACGACAGGTTAGTGTTCTTCTCCATTGTTTCAAAGTTCTTCCATTCGTTTTTCAAAGTTCTTCCATTCTCTTCCAAAGTTCTTCCATTCTTTTTCCAAAGTTCTTCCATTCTTTTTCCAATTCTTTTTCCAAAGTTCTTCCATCCGTTTCTTTGTTCGTGCTTTGCATTGATCGAGGGAGCGTGATTGATCCTTTTTTTTTCTTTCAGAGGCATCGACGTTGTGCGAAACAAGATCAAAATGTTCGCTCAGAAGAAACTCACGCTTCCGCGTGGTCGTCACAAGGTTGTCATCCTGGACGAAGCCGACAGGTTTTTACCGATCGGAAGAAAAATCATCTTTCCTGTGACGAGATCATTCTGAACTCCATTCTTCACGTGTTGTGGCAGTATGACTTCTGGTGCTCAACAAGCTCTCCGACGAACCATGGAGATTTATTCCTCCAGCACCCGCTTTGGCCTGGCGTGTAACCTGTCGTCCCAGATCATCGAGCCCATCCAGAGCCGCTGCGCTATCGTGAGATTCACGAGGCTCTCTGAGCAGGACATTCTCGCGCGGCTTCTCAAGGTCGCTGCCGCCGAGAAGGTACTCTTGGAACTTTAAAAACCATTTTTTCTAGATCTTCTTGCAATCTTGTTCTCCAGGTCCCCTATGTTCCGGAAGGCCTGGAAGCGGTGGTTTTCACCGCCGACGGTGACATGCGCCAAGCTCTCAACAATCTGCAAGCTACGTATAGCGGTTTCCAGTTTGTTAATCGAGAGAATGTGTTCAAGGTAAGGAAACCAGTCTCTTTTATTTTTGATGTTTAGAGTTTCCATATGTTTGTTTTGCAGGTCTGTGATCAACCTCATCCCTTGCTTGTGTCGACTATGATCCAGAATACACTGGCTGGAAAGATCGATGAAGCGTACCTGGGGATGAAGCAGCTGTATGATCTTGGTTACTCGGCCTCGGACATCATCACAACGCTGTTTAGAGTCGTAAAGAACTTTGACATGCCGGAGTTCCTCAAGCTGGAATATATCAAGGTCGGTATCACGGAGTTAATTAGAAACTTTACGATAATCAAATTCTCTTGTATTGCAGGAAGTAGGCTTTGCGCATATGAGGATCGCAGAGGGTGTAGGCTCGCTGCTGCAGCTAACTGGGCTCTTAGCGAAGCTTTGCTTGCTCAGGGAGAAAGCGAAAGCGTGAAAGCGTCGAGTCGTCGAACACGAAAATTTGTTACCTCCTTACATCTTCGCTGCGCCTGCTTCCTTGAGAGCTTTGGCGTGCTTCAGTATGGCCGAGGCCGCAGTTTCGTTTCCCGCGGAAGACAAAGCTCCTCCGGGAGGAGTATCCACCAGCCTCTCCAATGCCTCGAGTTGATCGTATGGTGCAACCTGCGTGACAATGTTTAACACTTGTGCTAACTTCCTTTTCATATAAATCGTTACCTGATTGAATCCATCGGGCCAGCTTATCATCACGGCATAATTTCCCAGAGGCTGAATGGCCTCGGGTTCGATGTCTTCGCGCACGTCTCCATAGCGTAGCTTTTGTTCGCCTGTCCATTCGTCCTGCTCAGAAAAGCATAAGATTCTCCGAAGTCTATTTCTAGGTAGACTTACTATACTTTTCGCGGACCGATCATTTCGACGAACAGTTGCTGGATGCAAATAAAATGGTTCTTCTGTTCCGGGGACTTTGACTTTGATTGCCCGCATTGCTTCGTCATAAGTTACTGCTGTGGACACTTGCTGGCGTATTTTGGCACACTGTTGAACTACACACACTCCCAGCTCGGAAAAGGACCTTGCAACGTCGCCTTGAGGGTCATGGACGACTTCCGGAGTGCCACTATCTCCTGCTGCAGAGAGCTGGGACAAAACAGAAAGAGTAAGTAAAGGCAACTACGGCTTTGTACAGTCTTGCCTCTGGTCTAATGGGAAATTCGAACAAGTTGGAGATGCCAAATTGTTGGACCACCTACAGAATCAAATATCAGGCTGCATCTTCAAAGGCTAAAAAGGTGTCACCTGTTTTCCCGAGCCCCTGCCGAAAGGGTAGTACCTCTTGCCATCTGCATCGAAGTAGCACATATTCTCCACCACGGCCAAGCACGGGACCTAGCATTCGGAAAAGATGCTAATAACTCTACTGAAGAAAGTCAAAAAACGCTACCTTAAGCTTTGAAAACATTCGCACTCCTTTGGCAACGTCAATGAATGCAAGCTTCTGTGGCGTCGTAACTATAACAGCTGCTGTCAAAGGCACAACCTGCCGAAAAGCTAACAAAGATTAGTATGCCAAAAGCTAGTCGAAGATAGTAACCTGGCAGAGTGTAAGCTGAATGTCTCCTGTTCCAGGCGGCATGTCAATTATCAGATAATCCAGCTCTCCCCTGAAAATCAACTCTGAATTATGCCTGTTCCTCAAGAGCACGCATGAAACATACCAATCGGTAGTTGTGAGGAGCTGGTTAATGACTCCAGAAACCATTGGTCCCCTCATAATTGCTGTACCCTGTCCAGCGAAACCGAATGATACTAGTTTGACTCCAAGGTATTCGGTCGGTATTATCTGTTTGGTGTCTTCGACCTATAGCAACAGAAACTTCAATGAAATCCCTTGGAAGTAAATGAAATGAAGAAAGTGATGAAGACTTACTACCTCACCATTTGCAACACCCGCAGCTCTGGAGACACCATTGTCGGCAAGCTTGGCCCATAAACATCAGCGTCGAAAATTCCAACTTTGGCTCCCATTCCCGCCAGGGAGTACGCAAGATTTACCGCAACTGTGGACTTGCCGACGCCTCCCTGAGTAAATGGCATTGACAAAGTCCTCGAACAGTAGAACGGGAGATGGATACCTTGCAGCTGGAAACTGCGATGATGTTGGAGACGTTTTGGAGACTTCGTGGGAGGCCCTCGGCAGCGAGAGCCTTTGCTGGTTGTGCGCTCATGGTGACTTTCACATTGGTGACCCACGGGAGAGCGGCGACCTTCTCTTTCGCTTGCTGCTCAAACTGTATGCAAAGAGCTGCAAGATGTTTAGCTGACTAGATGGTGAATAAAGCAGCAAACTTACCATGTCCTTGACAGGGCAGGCCGGCGTTGTGAGCTCAAGTCGGAAGGCGACCTGGTTGCGTTATGATAGAAGAAAACAAAGTCGTTGCTGTCACGAGAGTTTTTGGGAGCAAACCAAGAACGCACCAACCTCACCAGAAGATTTGTCCGCTTGCAAGTCTTTCACAAATCCACAGGTTACAATGTCTGCGCCAAAGTCGGGATCGATGATGGTGGAGAGCGCAACAAGAACGTCATGGCCACCATTCGTTGCAACCTCTACGAAGAAAAAAAAAAAGGATTCAAGCGTCACGAATCTGAGATTCGAGCTCATACCTGTACTGGAGATCGTACTGCGGCGTGTGAAAGAATCCGCAGAACCTCGCTTTCGTCCAATGGAGAGACACAAAGTCTCTTTCTCGACTTTAAATTTGATGCAAGAAGAAGAGGATGGAAGTCTCATCAAACGAAGATTGCGCTCGCTAGTTCGGCTGGTGAGTTTGGTAAGAAGATGCGCAGCTGTTCACGACATGACCGCATTGTTAGAGAAAGAATCCATTCGATAGAACTCTCGAAGAATGCTCGCCTCGATAGCTCTAGAGGAATGCGCAAAATCACAAGAACACACTCACCGAATCCAATCGCCGGAGCGCAAGAGCTCGACGCCATACCGCGATGCTCCTGCCCTAGCATAAACCCCTTGCTGGAGAATTTGTATGGCGCAGAGGCGGTCTATCCAAACCGGACACGTGTCGACATCCCAGCGGTTGAGAATCCGTGAACGTTGCCGAGTCAGCCCTAAATATCGCCGCCGTTGAAGCGTTACGATATCGCCGCCGTCCACGTGTAGCCGTCAGGTGACGGGCATGACGGGCGCTGGCATATTTCTCGAGCAGGAGTAGGGGTTATTACAGGGCTGTGCGCAATCAACGCAGCGGAGGGCGCTCGCCACGGCGCCTCCTCAGCTATGGTGGACGAATGTCGCCACACTCGCCGCGAAATCCACTCTTCCAGGGCCAGCGGCGTCGCCAATCCGCAGCTCCACGGCTCGTAGCGGGAATGGTGGATTTCGGGGCTTTGACGGCGCAGCTGGATGGAGCAATGCAGCTATGCTGATGAGGAGAATGGAGGCGCCGGGTAGCATGCAGTGAAGCTCTCCCAGAGATTGAAAGGTATGGCTCGGTTTGATCCAGTAGAGGCGTAGATCAGGCAATCCTAGTGCTTCCATACTCGTGATGTTCTTGGATCTTCACACGCTTTCCTTCTCTGTTTTTATTTTTCTTTTTTCGAAATTTTTCTGTAGTAAGGTGTTTACATTCGCAGGCGATGGCTTGCGATGTGAAGTCCCCGCCGGTGCAGAGCTTGAGGATTTCTCCGACACTCTCGGGGATGGAAGATCCGGACGGAGTTCTCGCCAGCGTTGCCCAATGCATCGAGCAGCTCCGGACGACTTCCACGACTCCCCAAGACAAGGAATCGGTCTCCAGGAAGCTCTACGCTCTTGCGGACTCTCGGGAAGACGCACGAGTCGCCGTGAGCTCTCACGCGCAGGCGATCCCGCTCTTGGTGACGTTGCTCAGATCGGGAACTGTGGCGGCTAAGATCAACGCAGCAGCCACTCTGGGAGTTCTTTGCAGAGAAGAGGACCTGCGAGTCAAGGTACTACTCGGTGGATGCATACCACCTTTGCTCTCGCTGCTCAGGCTCGGGTCCGCGGATGCTCAAACAGCGGCAGCAGTGGCCATCAACGCAGTGACGCGAGGGGGAATCAGAGATCATGTTGGGTCACGGATCTTCTCCACGGAAGGTGTGGTGCCGAGTCTGTGGCAGCAGCTGCAATCTTCGCCAAAACTGGATTCGGCAGTATATGGTCTTCTCACAGGTGCCTTGAGGAATCTATGCAACAGCACAGACGGGTTTTGGTCAGCCACCTTACAGGCAGGAGGTGTGGACATTTTGGTGGACCTGTTGCAAACGGGACGTTCGGATGCTCAGGCAAATGCTTGCTCGCTCCTGGCGTGCTTGATGACAGCTGCCGAGTCCAGCCGCTCACTAGCGCTGAACGCTGGCGTGGTGCCGCCACTGCTCAAGCTCCTGGCACCTGGGAATGAAGTGTCAGTTCGAGCGGAAGCAGCCGGAGCACTTCGAGCAGTGTCGCTCGAGCACAGGGACGCAAGCCAGGCGATTGCAAGCGCAGGGGGGATCACTAAGTTGATTGCCGCAACGGTGGCACCATGTAAAGAATTCATGCAAGGGGAATACGCTCAAGCTCTGCAGGACAATGCTATGGGTGCTCTTGCAAATATATCCGGGGGGATGTCAGCTGTGATCTTGAGTCTCGCCAAGGCCGTGGAGGCTTCGCAGTCGGATTCTCAATCGGCTGACACGATTGGAGCTCTTGCTTATGCGCTTATGGTGGTTGACGGGAAATCAGAGAATGCAGAGACCGTCAACCCAACGATTATAGAGCGGATTCTGGTAAAGCAGCTCGACACTAAAAAGGCTGTCCTAGTTCAAGAACGTGTGATTGAGGCAATGGCTAGCCTCTACGGGAACGCATTTTTGGGTCAGCGATTACAGCACGCCGATGCAAAGAAGATGATGGTTGGTTTGGTTACCTTGGCCAACACTGACATTCAGGAGGAACTTATGACGTCTCTTAGGAAGCTGTGCGGTGGTAAAGAGGATTTGTGGCGATCACTTCGGGGCCGAGAGGGAGTGCAGCTACTTATATCGTTACTCGGCCTTTCGTCAGAGCAGCAGCAAGAATATGCAGTTTCGCTGCTTTCCATCATGTGCGAGGAGATTGACGAAAGCAAGTGGGCCATCACTGCTGCTGGTGGCATACCTCCGTTGGTACAGCTTCTCGAAACGGGTTCTACGAAAGCTAAGGAGGACTCGGCTGCTGTGCTTGGAAATCTCTGCAGTCACAGTGAGGAAATTCGTGCATGCGTGGAAACGGCGGACGCGGTGCCTGCACTGCTTTGGCTTCTCAAAAATGCTGGTCTTAAAGGACAGGATATCGCAGCACAAACTCTCACGCAGCTGGTTCGAGACTCCGATGCAAGCACAATCAGTCAACTTAGTGCCATGCTGACAGGGGATCTGCCCGAGTCGAAGGTTTACGTCCTGGATGTGGTCGGCTGTTTGCTCTCGGTTGCCTCTGAGAACGATATCCTTCGGCATGAGGCAGCGGCAAACGACGCCCTGCAGACTGTTGTCCGTCTGTTAACTTCGGGCAAAACGGATACACAGGGCCGTGCTGCTTCCGTCTTGGCGAACGTCTTTAACTTGAGGAAGGACATGAGGGAGAGCCAGGTCGTTGCGGAGAGCATTGGACCGTTGATTCATCTTGTGAAAGACGGACCAGAGGCGACTGCGATGCAGGCTGCAAAAGCACTTGCTGCACTTTTCCGTTCGGTTGAAGCAAACTACTGGATATCCAACGCTGCGAAGCATGCCATCCTGCCGTTGATATCGCTCGCAAAGTCTTCGAACAACGAAATAACTGAGGTCGCGATTACGGGACTGGCTTATCTTCTACAAAAGACTGAAGTAGCCGTGGAGGCTCCAGCGGAGGAAATTATTCTACCTCTCACCAGAGTTTTACATGAAGGCTCTCCAGTAGGGAAGGAGAATGCAGCAAGAGCTTTGGTGCAGCTTCTGAATGCTTGTCCAGTGGATGATGCGTTTGCTGATCGCATCCACGAGTGCGGGACGGTTCTTGCACTCGCGGCGACAGGCTTTGAAGTGGCTGTTTCGTCTCAGGCACTCGAGGCACTGGCTTTACTAGCTAGAGCAAAGCGCGGAGGCACTTCTGGCCGCCCTCCATGGGCTGTTCTCTCCGAAGTTCCCGAGAGTATCAGTCCCCTCGTCACTTGTCTCGCTAGCGCAGTACCGGAGTTTACAGAGAAGGCAATCAAGGTCCTGTCAAGGCTCTGTCGTGACCAGCCCGTGGTCTTGGGAGACATGATTGCAGGCACGTCTACCTGCGTCAGAGCACTGGCAGACCGGGTGGTAAACTCCTCCAGTTTAGAAGTACGAGTTGGCGCAACCTCTCTTTTGATTTGTGCCGCCAAAGGACACCGAGAGGACGTCATAGACGTCTTGGATGAAGACAACAGCACTCTTTCTCTCGTTCACGCACTCGTGGAGATGCTGTTACTGAACTCACCTGAAGACAACTTGAGCAGTGGGGATTTCGACAACGCAGAAACTCGGTCGAGTGTTCAAGCAGGGCAGCACGAGTGTGATCCAGCTGCTGCACTCGGCGCTACTGTCGCTCTGTGGCTGCTTGCTCTAGTAGCATCGCATGATAACAAGCACAAGGTAGCAATCATGGAAGCGGGTGTCATCGATGTTCTCACCGAGAAACTGGCGAACTTTGTTCCAAATGCGCGTCAGGTAATTTATCTCTTATGTTTATTGGTCGCTCAACTGACTTGTGTTTCCCTTTGCAGGCGGAGGTTGAGAATATTGGAAGCACCTGGGTGAGTGCTTTATTACTAGCTATATTGTTCCAAGATCGAGAGGTTACTCGTTCTCCGGCAACAATGCGTGCTGTTCCGTTCCTTGCCATCCTTCTAAAGTCCGAAGAAGCCACCGACCGGTACTTTACTGCTCAAGCTCTTGCCAGCCTCGTATGCAATGGTAGTCGGGGAACAGTTCTGGTGGTAGCTAATTCTGGAGCGGTTAGTGGCCTTATACCGCTTCTTGGCAGTGTGGAAGCTGATATCTCCAACTTGGTTACCTTGTCAGAGGAGTTTTCTCTCGTAAGCAATCCTGACCAGGTTGCTTTGGAGAGACTATTCAGGGTGGATGACGTAAAGTATGGTGCGACTGCTCGGAAAGCCATTCCTGGTTTGGTGGATCTTCTCAAGCCGATAGCAGACCGACCTGGTGCTCCTCCACTGGCCTTGGGTTTACTGACGCAGCTCGCAAGCGGAAACAATTCAAACAAGCTGGCAATGGCAGAAGCCGGAGCACTTGATGCACTGACGAAGTATTTGTCTCTCGGCCCTCAAGACACCTACGAGGAGGCTGCTGCCGAGCTACTTAGGATTCTTTTTACTTGCCCCGACCTCCGACGTCACGAGTCTGCTCCTGGTGCTGTTGATCAGTTGGTAGCTGTTTTACGACTTGGCACACGGAGTGCCAGGTTCACTGCTGCCAGGGCCCTGCAAGGTTTATTTTCTTCGGACAACATCAAGGCTTCCGACGTAGCTGGTCAGGCTATTCAGCCGCTAGTCGAGATGTTACAGTCGGGTGCAGAAAGGGAGCAGCAAGCTGCAGTTGGTGCTCTGATGAAGCTATCAGCGGACAATCCTCCGAAGGCTCTTGCTATAGCAGATGCGGAACCAAATGCACTGGAAAGCTTGTGCAAAATTCTCTCTACGAATTGCACTCTGGAGCTCAAGGAGGAGATCGCCGAACTCTGCCGGGTTCTCTTTTCAAGCTCCCGTGTTCGGGCGACACCAGCTGCTACAAGCTGCATTGAACCTTTGGTGACACTTCTCTGTTCTGAGAGCGACACTGCGCATTACGCCGGTGCTCGAGCTCTGGACAACCTCCTCGATGATGAGCAGCAAGCAGAAGCAGTAGCAGCCTATGGTGCGGTGGTTCCATTGGTGGGAATGATGGTCGGTGCCAATTATAACGTACACGAGGCTGCAGTTAGCTGCTTGATCAAGCTGGGGAAAGACAGGCCTCTCTGCAAGCTGGACATGGTGAAAGCCGGGGTCATTGACAACGTTCTCGAGAGCTTGTTCGCGGCTCCGGATTCTCTATGCTCGTTGAACGCGGAGCTCTTGAGAATTCTGACAAACAACAGCAGCATTGCAAAAGGAGCGTCGGCATCAAAGGCAGTTGAACCTTTATTCCTGTCGCTGAGTCGGCCTGAGCTGAGCACCTCCGGGCAGCACAGTGCAATGCAGGTGCTCGTCAACATTCTGGAGAAACCACAACGTGTGGCAAATTTGAACCTGTCTCCCAATCAAGCGGTCGAGCCTCTTGTGCTACTTTTAGACTCGGCATCACAGCCCGTGCAACAACTCGCTGCGGAGCTGCTCTCGCTACTGCTTGCCGAGGAACACTTTCAGAAGGATATCGTGACGCAGCTGGCCGTTGCGCCACTGGTGAAGCTTGTAGGAGCTGCAGTGCAGGGACTGCAGCAGAAGGCACTCAAGGCACTGGAGTGGGCTTCAAACAGCTGGCCAAATGCTGTTGCGGACGCTGGTGGAATCGCGGAAATTTCCAAGGTTATTTTACAGGTTGATCCTCTGCCACCCCATGCTCTGTGGGAGTCTGCAGCTTCGGTTCTCTCCAACATACTGCGGTTCAGCTCTCAGTACTTTTTACAAGTTCCAGTTGCGGTGCTGGTCAAGCTGCTGCGTTCTATCTCGGAGGCTACCGTCGTCGTGTCACTGAGCGCACTCTTGGTCATCGAGAGGGACGACGCATCTAGCGCTGAGGTAATGGCGGAAAGCGGGGCTGTCGAAGCTCTGCTAGAACTTTTGCGCTGCCACCAGTGCGAGGAAGCGACAGCACGGCTTTTAGAAGCGCTTTTCAACAATGTGAAGGTCCGTGACATGAAGGTCTGCAAGCTGGCGATCTCTCCGTTGTCGCAGTACCTTCTGGATCCTCAAACCAGGATTCAACCGGCGAAACTTCTAGCAGCCTTGGCTCTGGGGGATATATTCCAGAACGAAGGCCTTTCACGAACGACAGACGCCGTCTCGGCATGTCGTGCTTTAGTCAGCTTGCTGGAGGATCAACCGACCGAAGAGATGAAGATGGTAGCTGTCTGTGCTCTGCAGAACCTGGTCGTAAACAGTCGCTCGAACAAGCGTGCTGTCGCCGAAGCTGGAGGTATCCAGGTTGTGCAGGAGTTGCTCTCCTCTAGCAACTTGGAGACTGCTGCACAGTCGGCTGCTTTGCTGCGATTATTGTTTTCGAATCACACCATCCAGGAGTACGCGTCAAGCGAAATCATCCAAATACTTTCAGGTAATGGTCACCCTTTCACGTTTTCGGTAAATAACTAATTTCTGTTTTCGGCTGCAGCAACTATAGAAAAAGATTTGTGGTCCACCGCGTCGGTGAGTGAGGACGCGTTGAGGGCCATGGACGTCCTTTTCCTCAACTTTCCCAGGCTCCGGGGCACGGAAGAGGCGACGCTTTGCATCCCTCAGCTCGTTGCGGCGCTCAAAGCTTCTAGCTCGGAAGCAGCTCAGGAGGCTGCACTGGATTGCCTTTATCTGCTAAGGCAAGCCTGGTCGTCAAGTCCCGCGGAGGTTGGCAGAGCGCAGTCGTCAGCAATGGCGGAGGCAATCCCGGTATTGCAACTTATGATGAGGTCGGGGCCCCAGCATCTTCACGAGCGGGTGGACAGCCTCCTGCAATGCCTACCGGGGAGTTTGGTTGTTACTATCAAGCGTGGTATGAACTTGAAGCAATCGATGGGCAGCACGAATGCTTTTTGCAAGCTCACCTTGGGAAATGGCCCTCCTCGGCAGACAAAGGTGAATTCCAGTTCTCTCTTCTTGAGGTTCTTATACGTTTCTATCGCATGATTGCAGGTTGTGTCGCACAGCACTACCCCGGAGTGGAAGCAAGGCTTTGCATGGGCTTTTGACACGCCTCCAAAAGGACAGAAGCTACATATTTCCTGCAAAAGCAAGAATGCATTTGGAAAGGTTTTGAAACTTCTCAGTAGCCTCTCAGTCGCTGATGTGTGCTTTTGGTTGACAGGGCTCGCTAGGAAAAGTAACAATTCAAATCGATAGAGTAGTGATGGTTGGCACCATAAGTGGCGAATATCAGCTGAAACCGGACATGAACCGAGATGGTTCTGCACGAGTATTGGAGATTGAGTTCCAGTGGTCTAACAGGTAACCCGAGAAGGTATCTTCTTCCAAGTTTTTGTTCCTTTTTTTTTCTTTTTTCTTTCTTTCTTTCTTCCTGTCTTTCTCTCTTTTCTTTCGTCCCCATTCACATAACCCCAGAGGAGAACTAGCAAAGCAGGTGGCTTGGCTTGGATTTACTCCTGTATATGTTGTAGGCATTCTTAAGATTTGTAGTCCTTCGCTTGGGACGATGGTATTCATCGTCCCTTACTTGCTCCTGGCTGGCTTGTTTACATAGCTGGCTGCTGAAATGTGTAAAGTGGTGGTGTTGCTGCTGAAAAATAGGAAATTTTTGTTGTTTTTTAGGAAGGACAAGCGAGTCGGCTGAGTTTTCCTTGTGTGCTTTTGTTTGTTTCGTGTGATTATTGCTTTGTTATTATTGAGCTATCATGATCTCCATCAAACCAAAAGGTTAGTTCTCTGGTTCTTGCTGGTCAAAGCCATTTGAATCAGGGTTTGTGTTTCATAGGTGGGAGCAAAAACTAAAGAGCCGACTTGTCGGCTGGCAAGCGGATCGGACAAAGCCTGTGCATCGACTGGTTATATTGCCTTCGCAGGTTTGGTTGTTTTTCTTTCTTTTTTCTTCTTCTCGGTTTGTTAGAGTTTTTTTCCCCTTTTTCTCTGGCACAGTCTCCGCTGTGTAGGTGGTTTGGAGAAACATGGCGCCGGGAGGAATGCCCAATTATACCAAGCTCGGCAACGGAGGTAATACGGGCTCGTATGCAATCCCACCGTCGCCGCCGGCCGATCACAGCAAGGTCCGATCTTCTCATCACACTCTCTTTGAGATGCTGAGCAGTGATCAAGGCTCGTCCTCGTCTCTGGAACAGCCCCAGTTGTCTACTGCTGCTCAGCACTTCCAGCAAGTCCTTGGGAATCCTCTTCTCCCCCCTCTCCCTCCGCCTTCGATGTCTCTCATCTCCGTGGTGGATCAACAGCAGCAGCAGCAGCAGCAAATGATCAGGCAACAGCCGCCACAGCAGCCGCAAAATCACTCTTTTCCCATTCGAAGCAACGCCGGCGCACAGCAGCAGGCTTTAATGCTCGCCCAACAGCAGCAGCAAGAGAGCAGCAAACAGGAATCTCTGCAAGAACGGGTCAATGCGATTCTCAGTTGTCCGCTCAACACTTTCAACGACGCATCCACCAGCGATGTCAAGCTCACACTCATCAGTCGGGACGTAGTCGGGGGCCTCACAGTCACTGTCCATGTCCACACGCGGGTTCTCGTTGCCTCGAGCAGGTATTTTGCCGCTAAGCTTGCTTACAGGCAGCAGCAAGTCCACACTGCGGCCCCTTATTCCGTCGAGATCTCCGACTGCGAGGACGTCGAGATTTATCTCCTCACTATCCGGCTTATGTACTCGTCCGACTTCAAAAGAATGCTACTCCACGAGAACGTACAAAGAGTGCTCGCCATTCTCAAGGTTCGTCTTTTCCTTGTTGTCCAAGTTTTTTTTTGTGTTTGTCTGTCGATTGATTTCATGCGGTGTTTCCTGTGGCTGCCTTGTCCTCGTGCATGGCTTGGCTTTTGTGTGCTGTTATCTATATTCTGGAGATCGTGTTTGATGCCCACATGTTCTTGCTTGATAAGAAAACTGGCTAAATGCTGTGAGGTGCGACAGGTTGCATCTGCCATCGTTTTCGAGGCGGCCATTGTAGCAAGTCTGGAGTATTTGGAAGCAGTGCCGTGGTGCGAGGACGAGGAGGAAAAGATCTTCTGTCTCGTCTCGCAATTACAAAACGACTATCCCTCGGTCGCCGGTAGCGTCCTCGGCAGGCTCGTAAGGCCTGCAAGGCCGTCCGTGTTGGCTCTCCCGCCACCGATCTGTCCTTCACAAAGGAGCAGTGACAACGACTTCTCGCTACTCCAGCCGGAGGAGGTACTGGTAAAGCTGGTGCGCTGCGTCATCAAAGCTACCGATGAGAAAGCCCGGCGGGAGATGAAACCACTCGTCTCGAGGCTCTTGCGAGAGAACACAGCAGCACTAGCAAGCAACAAAAGCTCCACGGCAGGCCTCAACACCACCGCCACCACCACAGTGGTCGACGTGAGCAAAGAGTCGCTCTACGACGCATGCAAGGAGTGCCTCCAGGAGCTGTCGGACGCCTTCTCTCGGCTGACCGAGCAGCAGCAGCAGCCAGCATCGTCTGCTCAAGCTCCGAGCCTGGTTTCAGCGGCCATTGCCCGTCACGTCGACAACATCCAGTGGCTGGCGGAGCTGCTCATCGACCGAGGCGTCGCGGAGGAGCTGGTTCACATCTGGTCCCGCGAGAGTCAGTTGGCCGCGATGCACAGGCTACTCCCGGCGATGCAGCGGCACGAAGTGAGCCGGATCACGGCGAGGCTGTGCATTGGCATCGGCCGGGGGCAGATAATGGCTCCACAGCAGGTCCGCGCGCTGCTCCTCGCGACTTGGCTGGAGCCGCTCATGGACGACTTCTCGTGGATGCAAAGGCTGGGCTCCAAGATTACTTGTTCCAGCCTCTGCTACGCCGGTGGCAATGGTGGTGGGTTTCTAGTCTTGGATAAGAAGACCGTGGAGGAGGGGCTGTGCCAGACGATTCTCACTCTCTCGCTCGAGGAGCAGCGCTCCATCCTCATGTCGTGGTTCGAGAAATTCTCCCGGGATGGTGACAATTGTCCGAATTTGCAGCGCGCTTTCGAGGTGTGGTGGAGGAGAACTTTTGCTTCGGGCATTGGGCGACAGCCGCAATGAAAGTGTTGTTACATTTGCTTGACATAGTCTCCAAAGTTTTTTTTTGCTTTTTTATTTTGTTTTCTTACTGTCCATAGCTAAACAAGCATAAGAGCCTCGGAAAATATAGGATCTTTAAGCTTGAGAGAGTTTAAACTCTCCTACGATTTTCACAACCATGGCTGTGATATTTGGTGTATGCTTTGCTAGTTCCATCTTTCTCTTGGTTGTGTGGAGGATCTTGTCTTCCAAGTTGAATTGTCTTCCACCGGGGCCATGGGGTCTGCCTCTGATCGGCCATCTCCACATGCTAAGAGGAATGCCGCCTTACAAGGCACTAGAATCTCTATCTCGGAAGTATGGTCCTATTATGTCCTTGAGGCTGGGAATGATCCCCGCTGTTGTCATCTCCAGCAAAGACTTGGCAAGAGAGCTCTTCAACACACACGATGCAAACTTCTCCAACCGGCCATACATGATCATTGGAGACCCTCGCTATGGCTTTGTGAGCCTGGCAACTTCTTCGTATATTGGGCGGCACTGGAAGAACGTTAGCAAGCTCTACACCAGGATGCTCTTCACGGCCAAGTGTATCGATTCCTTCTCCTGGGTGAGGAGTGACGAGCTCTCTCATGTCCTTGATTTTGTCTTGAAGTCCAGTGACAGGACCATCGCCGTTGACGTGAGAGTTCTATCGTCGACATTTTTGTTCAATATCATGTCCCGGATCCTGATGAGCAAGAGGTACTTTGGCCACGGTGGGGCTGATTCTGGCGTGGATGAAGACGCGGTGGAGTTCAAGCAAGTGACCCAGGAAGTTATGAGCTTGATCTTGAAACCTTGTGTGAGTAACTTTGTCCCGAGCTACCTGAGGTGGCTCGACTGGCAGATCCCCCGCTACAAGCAAGTCCGTGCCAAGCAGGACAAGTTCATGCAAAAGGTTGTGGATGAGCACAAGAAGACGACGAGAGAGTCCAAGGACCTCGTGGACATGGCGCTCGAATTCTTTCGAGGAGACGCACAAGCCGAGCTCTACACTAAAGCCAGCTTGTTGGTAAGAACACCTTTTTTCTTGGATAATCGTCCATATGCAATCAACTTTCAGGAAACCCTTTTGGGTGGAACTGAGACAACTGGCGTCACTTGTGATGGATCATGGCGGCAGTGATGCACATTCCGCAGGTCTTAACAAACCTCCAGGAAGAGCTCCAAAGAGTTGTGGGAAGCACAGGAATGGTTCGAGAATCGGACATCTCGAAGCTGGAGTATCTTCAGGCCGTCATCAAGGAAACGTTCCGGCGGTATCCTCCAGCAACACTCCTCATGCCACGCACCGCCCACAAAGCAACCACGATTGGAGGCTATCACATCCCAAAGGGCACCACCTTGCTCGTAAACTCGTGGGCGATTGGGATGGATCCGGCAGTGTGGGAGGATCCCACCCAGTTCCTCCCCGAGCGTTTCCTGGGGATCTCTATCGATATCAAAGGCCATGACTTCGAGCTCATCCCATTTGGATCCGGTAGACGAAAATGCCCAGGAATGGCATTGGGATTGCGAGCAGTGGAGCTGCTCGTGGCAAATCTCATCCATGGCTTTCACTGGAGCTTCGTTCCCGGGATGACATTGTCCATGGAGGATGAGTGTCACAGCGTCTCTCAGCTAAAGATTCCATTGCAAGCAATAGCCGTGCCAAGGCTACCAAAGGAAGTATATGCTAATTATTTAGAATAATTTTAGAATATTCAAATGGGGCACCATTAAATTAAAGGACTAGCTAGGATCCCAGCTCCGAGTACACCAAAGTATAATAAATTATTTAAGCTACAATTTTTATTACATTCATGAAAAACTTTGTGAGGACACTAAATAGCATTAGAGAGAATATATGTTGGATCTAAGAAATGCTTAATAATTTGTAGCAACAAACTGTTATGGATTAAAGATGAAACATTAGTTATAAACACAATAATGGATTTATTCTTTAAAAGCAAGTTATATGGTGAATATGAATCATTAGATTACAGCAAAGAATAGTCATATGTGGGAAAGAATAAGTTTCTGTCATTGGTTGGTTAGTTGTGTATGTATGTTGGACTTATATGTAGTAAAGGGTACTTTGTGGCCAACCTAGAAATAATATTTTGTAATAAGAAATTGAGAAAACTATCAATGTCTTAATTTACCATTCACTTGTAAGGCTGTCTTGAGCATATACACATACACACACTTTTTCTCCAACAATGGCAGAAAGAACTTTATATATACTTGAGTTAGAAAGTAATCAGTATAAAAGTGGAATTCTCTCCCTACTTGAGTAGTTTAAATAAACGCTAAGTTTATTTTCATTAATAAAAAGAAAAAGATATCAGAAATGCTTTGGAGAACCATGTGTTTCCTTTTGGATTAGCCATTAGGTTACAGCTGTATAAAAAGCTTTTCTCTTAGAGCACATATTTGCAATGATTAATATGGTTGTTATAGAAAGATAATGCCATAAGGGATTCTAATGACATGGATTGTCCCATTTCCAAGCTACATCAAGAGCATTTAACTTCATGAATTTGGGGAGTTGTTGTGTTAATCACAGAGTTAATGCCTTTT